TCTCAGTGATAAATGAGAACTAAGGCACATACTTGATAGATCCTGAGTCCTGAAAGAGGTAGAGATGGCTAGGAGCCTACCATAATGGGTATCAGAGAACAAATGAACTGCAGCTATTTCAGGAAATGGAATTGACTCACTGAGTGAAAGCAACTGGGAAAGCAAGCAGAGCTTCCTCACCCATGAGTAAGGAAGTTGAATGAAAAAACAGCCACTGACCAGAACTATGACTTGTACCTGGGCAATACTTTCTGAAACTAAATACAAATTATGGAAAATCCACAAAACCCCTTAAAATCAGTCTTGAAATAATAACAGGATGCCTAAGAGCAATGGATATTTAGGGCATCTAGGTGGCTCAGTCAGTTAACTATCTGACTTCTGCTCAGGTCATGATCTTGTGGTTTGTGAGTTTGAGCCCCACATCAGGCTCTCTGGTGTTGGCATGGAGCCTGCTTCTGATCCTTTGTCCCCCTCTCTCTTTGTTCCTCCTCTGATCATTCTCTCCCTCTGAGAATAAATAAAGAAACTTAAAAAAAAAAAAAGAACAATAGATATTAAAAAGAGCTAATACCGCGGCACCTGGGTGGCTCAGTTAGTTAAGCATCCAACTTCAGCTCAGGTCATGATCTCTTGGTCTGTGAGTTCAAGCTCCACGACAGGCTCTGTGCTGACAGCTCAGAGCCTGCAGCCTGCTATGGATTCTCTCTCTCTCTCTGCCCCTCTCCCACTCACAGTGTCTCTCAAAAATGAGTAAATGTTAAAAAAAAAAATTTGAAAAGAGCCAATACCAACTAGGTATCCTGGATGTATAAAATACAGTCCATGAAATAAACACTCTATAAATAGGATAAACTTTGGACTAGATACAGTAAGAAAGAGAATTGGGAAATTAGAAGACATCAGAATAAATTTACCTTAAAAGCATTGCAGAAACATGAAAGGATGAAAATATGAAAGATACACGGATGATATGTCTTTAGGGAAAAAAAAGACTGGTAAAGAAGACCATTTGAAGACCTAAGTCATGAGAATTTTGAGAAGCAAAGAAATAATACCTTCAAGTACAATACAATGAATGTGAAATAGGATTAATTAAAAGAAATTATAACATAGACCCTTCATAGTACAACTGCAGAATATCAGGGATAAAGAGAAAAATGTTTTAAAAGCTACAGAAAGACTAAAGACAAATTGTAACTAATGAAAGAGTAGCTACAGATGTCTTGAGAGTAGCAATAAATGTGAAAAGGAATCAAAGTAATATATTCAAAGTTCTGAGAGAAAATTCATTTCAACCCAGTATTCTATGCCTAGCTAAGCTATTGTTCAAGAGTTAAGGATTTTAATATTTTCAAACATGAAAATCTAAAAGAGTTTTGTGCCCATAGTCTTTTATGAAAGAACTTCTAAAGGATATACTTAAGCATGAACCTGGAAGAAGGATGATCTGAAGCTAATAAGAAAAATACAAAAATAAAATATATTATAAATTTTCACTGTCAGCAAAAAAGTATTCATCATCATGAAAGCAAAGATTCCAAGCCTCTGTCTCTCTTTTTTTTAGTCATAGCACTTTATTTGGTCTGCTCTGGTAGGTGTTATAGTCATGTGTCTGCTGGTAATGTCATGCTTATGTTAAATTTTTCATGATGTCATTAGAAACTGAAAAACAGCGATACCAGTGAAATATTTGTCACTCAGAATGAATATTTCCATCAGTTTTACTAGAAAAGACTACACACAGGATTATAAATTTGCACCTCAGGAGTGCTTAATCATACTGTTGCTGATGGTATAAGAAAACCTTCACTGTCAGGAGCTTATTTATGCATATGAACAATGAACAGTCTTTAATATAAGTTTGTAAACACTCTTGATTATGAGGCTGTTTCAGAGGTCCCCAAAATCATGCACATGTTCAGTTAGTCACTAGAAAGATTCATGAGAGTCAGCATGTAGTTCTGCCAGGATTTACAGCAGTGACACAGCAAAGATGTATAGTTAGAGCAGGAAGGAAAAAAGACACCTATGAAATCTGGAGAAATCTATATGCATAGGCTTCCTATGCTCTCCTTGTGACAGATCATGCAGAGTACACTCTCACCCAAGCAGCAGAAATGCAGTCATGTGTATAGTGTCTCTGCCTAGGGAAGCACATTAAAGACTCAGCACTGAGGGATAGTATTGGGTTGGTCATGTAGACGTCCTCTGTCTAGCAACTACAAAAATTCTAGATTCCTGAAAAGAAAACAGGTGTTTAGTCCATGGGCAAAGCAGTCTTCTTGCTTAGTGAATCTCATGTCATTTTAGGTAACTGTTCACCAACCAAGTTCCCAGATGCCAGCTGAGGTTCAGCCTTGCAAACAGACCCTTCTAAGATAGCAGCCTCAAACCTGCTGTATTAACTCTTTTCTGCAGAGGCCTATTTCCATAGCTATAGTTTTCACTGTTTTTTCTTATGACTTTTAAAAGCATATACAGTTGACCCTTGAACAATGCAAGTTGTTCACTTATATGTGAACTTCATGGGTCCACTTATATATGGATTTTTTTTAATAAATAGGAAAAATTTTGGAGATTTGTGACAATTTGAAAAAACCTCACAGGCAAACCACATTACCTAGAAATACTAGAAAAAATAAGAAAGAGTTAGGTATTATTGTAAGAATATAATGTGTATTACATATAACATACAAACTATGTGTTATTTGACTGTTCACATATTGGTGAGACCTCTGGTCAAGGGTAGGCTATTAGTTAAGTTTTGGGGGAGTCAATAGTTATAGGGTTGGTGCCCCTAACCCCCACATTGTTCAAGGGTCTACTGTATGTAAATTAATTTTTTTACTTTAGGAAATGTCATTTCGCTTAAACAAATAATAAAATCTCTCTTAAGATAATTTCATTCTTATATATATAATATATACAATAGACATCTATGGCTTTGTTTCTTTGAATGTTGGATAATTCTATATTGTGTGCCTGGAAGTTCTTGGGTTTCAACAATATATACACTGATTATACTCTGTAATCACAATCAGTATGAAAATATATTTATGGGGAAAGAAAAGATAATCTTATTAAAAAGAAAACCTGGAGAGCATAAAATATGTTTTTGTGTAGATTTTAAAATGGACCTCCAGGATCTAAGGAATAACATGCAAAAGGCATAGGTGGTACCTTCTATAACTCAGTTCTTTCTAGCTGTCTTTTGTCCATGTAGCTTCCTAAAAACAAACCACCCCCATCTTTGTCATTTTTAAAAGTAATCAGCAGTAAGATTATAATGACTACTTGTGGAAACACAAAAGGAAAATAACCATTCAGTAATTTTACAGCCAAACAATTTAAGGAAAATCACCATATGCAAATTACCTATACTTAAGCACACTAGCCTGAGTTATTATTTTGGAGCAAAGTGCACTCAAGAAAATCAACACAGCATAATGAGTTTTGTCTTTTATGTTGTCACTCCAAAATTGATTATGAATTTCCGTAGCCATGTATCTTGCAAAGTTTTGTAAACACACACACACACACACACACACACACACACACACCACGTCCATACATGTTTCTATTGCTTTGACACTTGGGTGATGATTTCTGGGTTACACTGTACATCAGCAAACTCTATGCTACTTACATTTAGGACTGGTATCCACCCATGATACCATATTCATAAGAATTAAGTAAACCATACACAAAAAAAGAAAATTGCTATTATAAGTAGAATGTTATTTTATGGATAAAGATACCAAACAAGAAAGTATGTCACAGAATACAAATGTATTGCATAAAACCAAGACCAGTGAATTTTATGTAAGCAAAATCCATTTACCTCTTACAGGCATACCTTTGTAAAGAAAAAGAAGATTCTGGTACCTCAAACACATTTCGAAGGAGGATCTGTGAATTGAAATTACACATTCTATACTCTGTTAGTTAGCTAATCATATGAACACAATTAACCTTCTTGTATCAGTGAACAACAATGTAGCTTAGTAGACTATCTGGCGGAAAGCAGATTTATAGTCCTTGAAAGCTGGACCAGTCAATACAGCTGTGGGTTTTTCTATTGAGACATTAAGCTTTTCTGGTAGTTAGCATGGAGTAGACAGGCAGATTTAACTAAGATGGTTATTTAGTGAGGCAAGTTTAATGGCGAGAGCATGGCTCAAGGGAATATAATGGTATCTCATGATAACTGAGTGAGAAAAAAAGAAATAATAAAGGCACAAAAGGGTGGTAAGGTTAATGAATTGAATGCCTCAATGAAAATTTGCTAAAAATTACAGGGTTGGAACTATTCAGCTACATAAAATGTAGGTAATGGAAGCAGTGGTTGAAGTCTGCTTAAGATAACAAACATGGTAGGGGAATGGGTAGCTGAGGAGAGGAGAAGTAAAGATCACTGGAGATGAGGGACTGAGGAGCCAGGGTAGTGACAGGACTTACATGAAAATTAGTTACCAGTAATAGCGACAGAAGTAGGTGTGAGAAGAAAATATTGATTCAAGTGCTGCAATATTTAGCAAGTGAGGGGGAGTGCCTAGGAGGATCAGTAGGTGCTGGTGGCTTATGGAAGAGAATGAATTTCAAAGTAACAAGTGTAGTCATATTTGCCTGACTACTTCATAAGACTTTCTGAGAATCAAATTAGATATTGCCTGAGAAAGCACAATAAACCCCTTAAAAAGGTGTAAAAAGTAGTACTGTGTTTATATAAGAGCCCTGAGTTTCACCACAGCTTTATGCCCTGATTTCTTTGCCTACAAAAGAAAGACAATGATAAGAATCTGTCCTGCTTAATGTGAGATTAGAAAGCTAATTGCCATGATATATATAAATTTGTTTTGAGTATTTGGAAACAGAAAGTCCTTTCTCTGACCTGAGTTCAAAGTCATTGTTCAGCTCATGAGAGTTCTTAGCAGCATGCTATCACTGTGGATAGCATCTGAGTATCAATTAACATTCTTCCCTATCTTGGATTTCAGACATTTCAGCAGTCCTCTCTGCAACACAAATCAAAGAAGAAAAACAAAGGTAAGGAAAGGAAGTGAAATACATAGCTGCATAGTTTGCACAAGCATACTTCACTCATCTCCTTTTGCCTGAACCCATCGTGGTTTGCAAGAGCACAGCCCCCTAGCAAAAGCTTCCAAGACCAGCTTCTCCTTCTATTGTGATGCTAGGGGTACCTTTTACAGTAAATGGTCTCAACAGGGTTTGACACTGGGATTACACACTTCTGATTACATTGCATGTCACTTATGTGGTGGGGGGAAGGTATTAAAGATTTCCATAGTTTTCTATTATGATGCAATGTAAAAATAAGAATTTTTAAGTACCCAGACTTATTTTTATGAGCTATAGATTAATCTTCTACCTTCACATTCACATAAAATTAAAAGAGCACTGTTATCTTTAGGTCCTATAGCTGGCAAGAGCAAAAGACGAATTTCTTGCAAAGATCTTGGACGAGGGGACTGTGAAGGTTGGCTTTGGAAAAAGAAAGATGCAAAGAGTTATTTTTCACAGAAATGGAAGAAATACTGGTTTGTCCTTAAGGATGCATCCCTATATTGGTATATTAATGAGGAGGTAAGTAAGACAAAACACGTTTTGTTTTTTGTTCCATTTTCTATCTTTAACCCAAAGGATCACCATTTTGAGACTTAGATTTTAAAATCATATAACCACCTTAATGCTAATTCAGGAGAGTTCCACTAGTTATTTTTTACTCTGCCTTCTTACAATGATTGCATTTTGGGAGTTCTGGAAAGATATCTGTCTCAGTTATTCTAATGTGGCAACATATCTGAAACAGATAAAATTCTATGTATCGAATTAAAAATATCAAACTAATTCCAGCAATAACTTAACTAAAAGGATTATACATGGAAATTTGAAATAGATTTTTAAATGTCTCACTTTTGTTCAAAGTTTTCAATTTTTTTCTGTTTGTTTTTTGGGAAGAAGTCCTCTAGTAATTTAAGTAAATTAATATCACATGAATTTATTTGTTTTTCTTAAAGAGTACATGAAATAGAATACTAGCTTTGAAAACCTGGAAGTATTCATTTCATTTGGCCCAATTGAGGGGTAGGGTGGGGAGTATATGTAATATATTTAAATTGTTCTTATGATTTCCTGTTTCATTTGCAGTAGACAGATCTTTATCCAGAGTAGTTATATCATAACCTACCACCTATCACAACGCACAAGAGTATACCTTTTTCATTGATTTTCTTTGACTCTGCATTTATTTTCATTCTTTTGCCATAGCATCTATCGTTTACCTTATTAAGCTCTTTTTTTTATTTTATTTTTTTTACAAATAGTTTATTGTCAAATTAGTTATTAAGCTCTTTTTTAAAAACAATTTCTATTGTTAACTTGTTTTCTCAAAAAATGTACATAGTTTAATATAGTGTGCTGACTAGTCTTACAGGAATACTATTATGTTAAGGTATTCATCGATTTGCATTTGAATATTAATTTTGGAAATATAGTTTAACAACATAATTATGGTTATGATTATAACATAAAATATGTAGAGGAGTTATATTTGTTTTGATTTAGAGAATAGAATTAACCCATCTGAATTATTATGCATCAATTTCCTCATCTGCAAAGAAGAAGAGTGATAATAGAGCCTAGCTCATTGGGCTATCATATGGATGAAATGAATCAATTCATGTAAAGCCCACTTAGAACACTGCCTGACATACACTCAATACTCACTAAACATATGCTTTTAGTAATATTTTTCAAATTGAATTCTAATTTCATTTGTAAAATCTTAAATTAATCTTTTGCTGTTTAATACAAATGCCTATGTTATATAAAAGGATTTGGTTATTTTCTGCACTTTTGATATTATTTGTGCTAATCACATAATTACCTAAAAAATCTTCTATTTCACTAATTCTATCTTATTTTAGATACAGGAAAAAAAATTAATTTTTTTAATGTTTTATTTATTTTTGAGAGAGAGAGAGACAGCATGAGCAGAGAAGGGTCAGAGGGAGAAGGAGATACAGAATCCAAAACAGGCTCCAGGCTCTGAGCTGGCTGTCAGCACAGAGCCTGACACAGGGCTCGAACCCACCAACCGTGAGATCATGACCTGAGCCAAAGTCAGACACCCAACCGACTGAGCCACCCAGGTGCCCCTAGAAAACAATTTTATCAACATTTTCATTTAACATATGTCAAATATTTTTTATATGCCAATCAAGTAGTATCCAAATATAGTCTTTGTTTCCTGTTAAGGTCACTTGTATATTTCTCTGCCGTATGCTATATTATATTCTTTTAAAGTTTAAGTGATTAAAAACTGGGCCCTTTTTTATTGAATAGTTGCTAACTTTTGATCAGATTTGTTACTGTGTTAGCCTTGTGAGAAGTGAGTGAATAATTCTGTAGTATACACTGTAAGAATTATTTAGTGTGTTTTTTTAGGAGAAATCCCTCATCACACCATTATGGGAATATCATATCTATCCCCAAAATATTTTAAATTGTTCAAAATATAGAATTTTTTAGTTAAAGACATCAAGGTTGATATAACAGAAATCAAAGTTGAAAGAGATTTGAGAGTATTGTATTTATTTACCAAGATTGGAAAAAATATGCTCAAATTTTGAAAAATATTGAAAAAGTTATAATACTCCCTTTTTTATAACACAACATTTCAGTCACTATTAGTAATATCAGATTTTTATTAAGTTTTACATTTATACATACATGCACATTAAAAGAATTGAGAATCTGGTTTTTTTTCTTTGAGGTTAGCAGATGGGGTATAATCTCACTTGAACTTGTTATATAAGGAGCCATTAACTGATACAGCAAAGATCAAAAGGTTTGGGAGAGTAAAGTCTGAGGAACTTGGTGATGAGCATGAAAAGGACAACAATGAAAGGATTTAGCCAAGGGTAGTTAGTCTTAGCCTAGTTGGAATAATTTGTATCTAACATAAGATTTTGGATAATTCTCCTATCTTATTTTTCCATCCCACGTGAGAGAGAGGAAGATTTTTATGGATTTCATTCAATTTTCCAAGTGAAAAATGATCTTTATATATATAGCATGTATACCAAGTTGGATATTTAAAGATCAAATTGTTTCATTTATAAAATCTGGAATATATAACATAGTTAATAATTCTGGTTTGATAAAAGACTTTTTGGAGGCAGAGAAGGAATTGAATTAGTAAACATCCATATATTTTTACATCTGAACATTAAAAATGACAGAAAATTGTGAATGTTGAATGTGGACTAAAGTTATTTTATATGTTATAAAAGCATATATACATTCTGACGAGAAAATTACTTATAAAATGTTTCACTTTGAGAGTTTAAAGAATTTTCTATTTTCATTCTAATATAAAAAGGATTTTTCAGAATTTCTCTGTGTATCTTAATTTGTACTATTTGAAATGTTCAAAATATATCTTCAATTTAATGGAATATAACAAACAAGAGTGGAACTCTAATCTCTCAAATGTCAAAGGTGTAGTTGTATAGTATTATCAGCTTCAAACCTTTGTATATAACACCCTAAACAAGAGTGTTGCCTCTTTAGGATGAAAAAGCAGAAGGATTCATCAGTCTGCCTGAATTTAAAATTGACAGAGCCAGTGAATGCCGCAAGAAATAGTAAGTTGATTTTATTTGGGGAGAGGAAGAGAATGGAAGGGTGTTTTTTTTTTTTTAATTTCTAGCTTTTAAATCATAGGTCACTTGTCTAATGCTTTCAAATTGAGGTAAAAAGAAAGCAGTTTTGTTGGCAGGAAATTGAATTTTTTACTGATTTCTGTCATCATGGCAGAAGCATTATATATGTGAACTCAGGTTAGATGCTGAGGTAATTTTATCTATAAAAATTATTTGGTTCTAACTTATTTTCCAATTTGAAATAAAATAAATCTACTTTGTTTCCTTTTGCAGTGCATTCAAAGCTTGTCATCCTAAAATCAAAAGCTTTTATTTTGCTGCTGAGCATCTTGATGATATGAACAGGTAAAGTGTTACTTAAATTTCAGAGTACTTAGAAAAATCAGTTAGGCTTAGAATTCTAAGTTTTCTATATTAATGCTTACAGAATAATGTCACAGTGGTAGAGCAGTTTAAAATAAAATGGACTCAGGCATAGCTGCATGTAGCCATACCTAATTTCAAAGAACAGCATTTTAAAAGTCAAAATAAACTTGTTGACTATCAGGTTTAGCAAAAATGTGCCTGAATCCATATATTGACCAAAACTCCACTGTAAAAAAAAAAATTTTAAGTCCATTTCAAGATATGTCTTCAAATTTGTTCCCAGGTTTTGGGGAGGGGGGGAAGATACATCAAAAAACCTGACCCTTTCAAGTGCAGGGTATTTATGACAGAACATCTCAATTATTGTCCTAAGCAAAGTTCGTATTTCTTTCTGTCACCTTTCTTCTATCACTGGACAAGATTATACAGCCACGTGATTAGATGGCTACATGGCTGGGGCGCCTGAGTGTCTTAGTCAGTTAAATACCCAATTCTTGATTTCAGCTCATGTCATACATGATCTCATGGTTTGTAGGTTCAAGCCCTTGTCAGGCTTGAACCAACAAGCACAGAGCCTACTTGGGATTCTCTCTCTCTCTTTCAAAATAAATAAAGTTTAGGTAGATGGCTACATGGTTATTTGGAGCTGCGGGGGTAAAATATATATATATATATATAATACATATAAATAAATATATATAAATATATACATTTCCATCGTCTATAACATTCTGCTTCAGATTTCCCACTTTAGCATTTATGAATTTGATTCTCCCTTTTCCTTCCTTTCCCCTCTCCCTTTTATAGGTTTATAGAAATTAGACTTAAGATTCAGATGTTTCCTTTTAATAGGTCTTTAGCAGGCAGTACATATTACATGTATAACTTGCCAACACTTAGGGAGAGGCAACATAGCATAGTGATTAAAAGCATAGACTTTGGAACCAGACTATCCAAATCCCAGCTCTCAAACTTACTAGCTGTGTGACCTTGGATATAGAACTGGACCTCTTTATGCCAGGTATTGACCTCTTGAAAAATGGACGTAATAACAATCTCCACCCAAAGGACTTTTGTGAAGAGCAGATGAGCACACATAAGGGGCTTAGAACAGTCCCTGCTCAATTGTAAGTGCTATGTGTTTGCTAGCAATGTATATCCCTTTTATATTTACCTTTCTTTATGTGTCTCCAAAAAATTAGTATCCAGATATTTTAAAGCACAAAGCTGAGCAACTTTATAAATGTGCTTGAGTACACTAAATGAACACTTAATATACTTTTATAAATGATCTTGGTTTTTTGACATTTGGGAGTACAGGCATGGTTTGTCCAAAGCAAGAAGGATATGAATACAAGGAAATGGCAAACCAAAGTGTTGAGAACACTTGATAAAATGTTTTATTGTTAATAAGGAAACTGAGTCTTTCTTGTACTTCCCATAATCTTCTTTTCATGTACATTACCATTCTTGAAATTTCACACTAGGCGATTGGAATTTGGAGAGCTTTTCCTCCTTAAATTTTTCTCAAAATGAAAATGTTAATTCACATGCTCATGGGGTAGGGAGAGGTTGTGATACTCTGTTTTTTGTTTTAATAATTTCATAACTCTCCTGTTCTAGTTACTCACTATGTATTTTGTCACATGTTGAGCACGGTGCCTTTGGGATGAATACAAAGGGTTTACATCATGACCAAACAGAAAATAAGTGGTAATAATGAACATTATCCTATTTTACAGGATGGATACACTAGAACACAATCACCTCTAAGAATTAACGTAATTTAATTATTCATGAAACATGCTAACCAGGGTCTTTTTTAGGCCTAGAAAATGCCTTTTTATGAACTATGAAACCATGCCTGGCCTCTGTTCCCTGCCTTGTTTAGCAATAACTTCAAGAGTTGTCATGTCACTACTCTTCCCTAATAATTCTATGGATATATCTGGTTCAGGATATTGTAGAAGAAGCTAAAGCAAACCCATGTGTTTCATTTTATTGTTTTTTCCAAGAAATGAGTCAAAGTAAAAAAGTGAATCTGATCAAATATGTCATCTCCACATCATACATTTAAGAATGCTGTTTTATGTAAGCCTTGCTATGGTGTACTATAAACTTCAGAATTAAATTGTCCTGAAATACTGAATTTTTTTAAAACTTTAAGTATAATGGACTTTTCTCTTTTCTTTTTCTTTTTTTATAATCATAATCCCAATGTCTACTTTCAATAGGCAAGTTCTTAAAAATTACTTGTTAATAGATGGGAGGAACGTCAGTGCTATAAATAAGCAGAGGATTAATGGTGGGAGAGGTCTCCTCCAAAGATTTTGTTCAGGAAACTGATTGTTACATAACAGCAAGATAATCTGGGTGTTGGTTCATTCTATATATAATCTTCTAAAGTAATGTACCTAAGTCTTCAGAGATTTTAAATTTATGATATTAGGCTAATTATAGCTATAAGCTTTATCTGGTTATTTCTTAATTTCCAAAGCACTGTCATATGTATTTTAAAAATATAGTACAAGTTTTGACAAGACCTATAAAGTAAATTTAATTTTCTTAAATAAAAATCTCTGTGTATGTATACATACACACACTTATACATATACCCTAATTTACATGTACCTATATATACATAATATACATATAACCAAATATATGTGTATATATACACATATACCCAGATATATGCGTATATATACACACACATGTGGTGTATATATATATACACACACACACACGTGAAATATTAAAATCTCACCTTCTATTTTTTGACTGTGAGTTTGATTGTGAGGTAATTTGCAAAAACACTTTTGAGGCCCCAACCACCATCCGTTTCCTCCTCAGAAATGAGCATTGAGACATGAAAAAAAAATTTTGCCAGTCTTTGTGAAATCTGTGGGAAGAAAACAAAATATCGTGTTTCTCAAGTATTTTGAGACTTATTTACTGAATGCACTTGGCCTATACATTCCTTATCATGTCAGCACTTATGTCTTCATAATTCTGAGGATTCGCCCATTTCTATTTGGCATTTACTTTTTAGACATTTTTCCCATAGTTCTTACTCATTTTTTGCTCTCAATACATTATTCTTTGTTAGTTATTGATAGCTTGTTGTCTTATTTTAAAACATCAGAGACAGGCTAAGGTGCTACATGTGGACTTCATATCAACGCCCTTCCCCATCACTAAATTCAGTGCTTGTATCCCTAACCACCTCTTCTTAAATTAACTGCCCCTCCATCCCTACCACTTTTGACTTTCTAATTTTTTACCTTGTTATTTTTGTAAATGACATTGGACACTACTTGACTTATGTTTATTTGTATTCCTGTTTATTATCCGATGCCCTCACAATGATGTAGTCTCCTGTGAAGGCAAGACACTTTGTTTTGTTTCTCTCTATCCTTCATGTTTAGAATAACAGTACCTTGCAAACATAGGTTCTCAATAAATATTTCTTGGCTCAGTTAATGCATATATATCTGCTGTTTATAATGGCCTATAAATACCAAATTATACTGCAGCAAGTGTATAGGTAAGCCTCTTCTAGCTGAGGCCTCGAGGACAAGTTTACCCAAGACAGCACCAATTGTGTAGTGTTCACCCTTTGGTCCCTAACACACTGGCCTGAGTTTATCTACATACTTTCTGAAGAGTTTTTATCATGAACAGAATTTTTTGTCCTTTTTAAAAGTAGTCTGATTTTTCAATTGTCTTATGACATTTAGCAATTCTGGAACTCACTGAAGGCAGGAATTATGTCTTATTCAATTTTGTGCCCCCAAAACATAGCTCGTTGTTCAGCATATAGCAGGCACTTAGTAAATTTGTTGAACTGAAAAATCAAAGAAGCCTTTTTTTAGTTTCCTAATTCATCCCATAAAGACCTCATTGTTCTTTAAACTTCTGACAAAATGAAATTGCAGTGATATTTTTTAGAGTAGTCAATATGAGGGGTGCTGTTCATCGTTAAGCATCTGACTTTGGCTCAACTCATGATCTCACAGTTGGTGAGCTCGAGCCCCACTTCATGTGAGCTCATGACCTGCTTAGGGAAAAAAACAAAAACACAAAAAACACAAGCCCCAGGTGAGCCCCACTTCTGTTTCTCTCTCTTCCCCTTGCCCCTTGCTCACTTGCATATTCTGGCTCGCTCGCTCGCTCGCTGTCTCTCTCTCTCTCTCTCTCTCTCTCACTGTCTCTCTCTCCCTCCCTGCCTCCCTCGGAAAAAAGGAGGGGCACATGGGTGGCTCAATCATTTAAGCATCAGACTTTTGAATTTGGCTCAGGTTCCTCACAGTTCCTGGGATCAAGCCCCACATCGAGCTCTGTGTTGACGGTGCAGAGCCTGCTTGGAATTCTCTCTCCCTCTCTTTCTGCCCTCTCCCCTGCTCATGCTTTCTTCCTCTGTCAAAATAAATAAATAAACATTAAAAAAGAATAATCAATATTAGTTACTGCTTTAAAATCCAACAATATATGTTCTTCTAGTGCTATTATCATCATTTTCACCGCAAAAGGGCCAGGCATGTCTTTCCTAAGAGTGCTAAGATTTGTCTTGTAGTACAAATTCAACCCCATTCTCGCTACAAATGACCTATAGACTGAATTTCAATTTTGACCTTTTTACTAATGATTAGAGTCATTTTTTAAAGGTTATTCATCATGAAATTGACTTATTAGCTTATAATTTGTAATTTTCTGAAGTGGGTATACACTATGCTACTCAATTTATTTGATCAATCTTTATTTTATTTCCTTTCTGTTCACCTCTCTTCTTCACTTCCCCAGCATACTTGAGGTGATAATTACATTGTAGGTTTTCTCAAAATAAAGTTGGGCTTTAGGTGGCTTATTCTTAAAATTAAAGTTTAAATTTCTGTAGATGTGATTTTGTCAATTAGAGACACAACTTTCTTCCCTTTCAAGATATTCTGTCTGTTGCACAGTTAATACTACTGGGCATAAAAGATGAAATATATGAGTCACTGTAAAAAAAAAAAAAACATCATCTTCCAATTGACACAAGAGATAAGCTCTTGGGAGAAAAAGTTCTCAAACATGATTTTTTCTTAAAAATATATTTTGATCAGATTATTACATAGTTTAATGATGTTAACTATACTATTGATTCCAAACTTAAGGTAATTTGGAAGAGGGGTTTTCCTTTTCCTTAATTTCTGATTTGGGAAAGCATACATGGATCATAACTCAGAATAGACTAATGGGAAATTGTCAGGTTAATTTAAAAATTTTGTGATTTGATCATCTAGAGCATTATAAAGAGCTGGAATAATGAACACAGGAGAAACCTGGTGGGACAAAAGCTAGAGATTGAAACACTGGAAATAGAAGCACTACTGAGAAAGGAAAGAAATAAGATTTATTTTTAAGTTACTATTGTTCATGGATATAAGTTTTCAGGATCTAAATAGAGGTTAAAATTACATTTGCTCATTTTGTCTTTAGAAAACCAAATAGCCTTGTATTTAGAGACAAATTTAGAAAGTACTCCCAAAATGTGTTTCCTCCTGGAACCTTAATTTTAAATAACTTTCATCAAAACTAATATTTCATAGTGAAATTTATTTTGACAGGCAAGTCCATAACTTTTTTTTCTCATCAGTATGTATTATATATTATTAAGTATCTGTAAAAGAGCATTTGTTCTGAAGAAACAAACAGCAGAAATATTTGGAGTGCTTCTAAATTTGGAACAGCAGAATTGATAGGGCTCTGATCATCTTAAAACCCTCTATATTACAGATATTAACAGGTTTGTCTTAGACTTTTCTATCAAAATAGCATCTTTAGTGTGGCAGCAATTTATACTACAGAAAATTATATAGCTCACTGAAAGCTCAGTGTGTCAAGAGTAGCAAAGAACACCAGTTTTACATAGAATTATTTCATATATTCTTAAACATTTTAAAATAAACATTTTTATTAAGTTTTTAATTTTAATTCCAGTATAGTTAACATACAGTGTTCGTTTTGGGTGTACAATATAGTGATTCAACAACTCTGTAATTACTCAGCAGTCATCACCACAGTGCTCTCCTTAATCCCCATCACCTAGTTCACCCATCTCCCCACTCACCTTCCCTCTGGTAACCATCAGTTTGCTCTCTACAGTTAAGAGTCTGTTCCTTGGTTTGTCTCTCTTTTTCCGCCTTTCATTCCTTTTGTTTCTTTGATCCCACATAGGAGTGAAATTATATGTTATTTGACTTTCTCTGACTGACTTACTTCATTTAGCATAATATACTTTAGCTCCATCCATGTTGTTGCAAATAGCAAGATTTCATTCTTTTTTATGGCTGAGCAATATTCCATTGTGTGTGTGTGTGTGTGTATATATATATATATATATATATCACATCTTCTTTATCCTTAATATAAATATTTTTTAAAAGTAAAATATATGAAATTCAGTTGCAATGCTACTGATTTTAATATTTTTTTTTCAGGTGGCTTAACAGAATCAATATGCTGACTGCAGGATATGCAGAAAGAGAGAGGATTAAGCAAGAACAAGGTAAAGGAATATTTTTTTACAGTTGTGAGGTTTTTGTTTTGTTTTGTTTTGCTGTTATCGTATACGGTGATTCACTATTATCAGTTGAGTGAAAATGCATATATCAGGCTGTGTGTTATTTTTCTTCTGGGCACTTTGAATCCAAGCAATAGCATCTTAAAGGTAAGGTTTAGTAAATTAAACAGATGGGGAATAAATTCTCAAATTTTTGCAGCAGCTGATGTGGAGTTTGTTGCTGTCTCTCTCAGTCTGTTTCCAATGGAGGATAAAAAGCTTACAAATTTAAAAATCTGTAAATGGTTCTAAATATTGACCACAGTCCAGGATCCTTGTTGGTGAGGTTTTTTTTTTTTTTCTCTTTAGTGATTTCATAGATATTTAAGTGTACTTTTATGCAAAGAGCTCAGATGGATGATTCCTCCTTCCATAAATTATCTTAGTTGGTTATGTTCTTCAGTTCTGTTACTCTGTAATTCTGTGATTTTATGGAACGTGCCTCAGTATTGATCTCAGATTTACAAAACACAGTGTCATTATGCAGAATATATGTTTTATTGAAAGCTGTGGTCACCATTCTGAAGTTGCTTTACATTTCCCAAAAGTGTTTATTGTGCATCCCTTGGAAGCATCAACTTTTTGGAAATCTTTTGAGACTTCCTAAAGCTAAAGGAACTCCACAGATTGATATATATACAAACTTATTTCTAGTTGTGTCTCCACTGGGCATAGCCTATTTGTTTATGTGGAGATTCTAAAAACCTTCTGTTCCCTCTCAGAGTAAAACCTCAGCCAAAACTTTTCTAAACATCTAAAAGCTAAAGGTTAGAGAGATCTAAAGTAGATATCCAGATCCCAAAAAATCTGTCAGCAAATGTTTAGAGCAATGGTTGGCAAACTTTCTGTGAAAAGCCAAATACTTAATAATTTAGGCTTTGCAGGCCCATAAGATTTCTGTCTAAACTACTCAACTCTGCTGTTACAGTGCTGGACTCTAATAAAGCTTTATTTATGGACAGTGAGATGGAACTCCATATAATTTTTTACATTTCACATAATTATTTTTCCTTTGATTTTTTTTACCCACTTAAAAATGCAAAAACTGTTCTAGATCTACAGGCCATATAAAAATGGGTAGAGAGCCTCATTTGACTTGTAGGCAGCTAAGTTTACCAACCCTTGGTTTAGATCCATGGGTGAGGGAATGGAGATGAGTGGAGCAGTGAAGGGTGAGGACTTAGGGCAGGAAGATTTCAAAGAAACAGCAAAACATGGTTCTTGTCAATAGGAATATATCATCTTGTTGAGGATCTCAAAGATACACACTTGAGGAGCACCTGGGTGGCTCAGTCGATTGAGCATCCAACTCTTGCTTTCGCTCAAGTCATGTTCTTGTGTTCGTGGATTCGCTTCTGGCATCAGGCTCTGTGCTGACAGTTCAGAGCCTGCTTGGGATTCTCTCTTTCCCTCTCTGCCCTTCCCCCTACTCAAGCACTCTAGTGTGCACACACACTCTCTCTCAAAATAAATGGGTAAACATTTTTTAAAAAGAAACACACTTGGAATTGCTTAAGAAACATTGAAGTGCAGCAGAAAAAAAAATTAAAGAACAACATAAAGTCAATGAGTACTAATGGTTGCACAATGTGCAACTGATTTTTTAAAAATGTGCTAAGTGGATACAAAATTTAAAAAAAAAAAACTGGGAAAGAGGCAGACTTAATGAGGAAATAACTTGCAAGAGAAAGTGATGAGTGAGGCTGATGTAAAATCAGCAGTAGAGAGAAAGAGAAGGTATTTTATTCAGTATGAAGTGTTTGTGTAAAGCCTTCAACTAGCATGCTGATTAACTTAAGGTGAAATAGGCACCTGTCCTGCCTGGAATTACACTGAATTTTGTAGAAAAGATACTTGCAATATAATACAGAAAATGAAATGAAAGAAAGTACAAATCAAGTTCTGTGGAAATTAAGCTGGAGAGATTCCTTCCAGGAAGGGAATGGGGAAAGGCTTTATGTTGACTCCATTATTTGAACTCATTCTCACAGAATGCAAAGGAAGTAGATAGGAAGTAACAAAAAGGGGTGTCTGGGTGGCTCATTCAGTTAAGCGTCCACCTTTGGCTCAGGTCATGATCTCACAGTTCGTGGCTTTAAGCCCCAAGTCAAACCATGAACTCTCCTGTCAGCAGAGCCTGGAGCCTGCTTTGGATTCTGTGTGTTCCCCTTTCTCTGTCCCTCCCCTGCACACACTCTGTCTCTGTCTCTCAAAAATATTAAATAAGCATTTAAAAAAAGGAAGCAACAAAATAAAACATTCCTGGGAGTGGAAGTACCATGGATACTTCCACAAGTAAGGTGAGAGCAGTCTCCATCAAATCAGGGTGCACAGGCAAATCCCAGCCAGGACTATGGGGTGTCATGCCAGTTATAAAGCCACATTTGTTTGTTGTTTAAAGATTATTTAAGTTTATTTAAACTTTTGATGCTTCAACTTAATTTATAACTTTTAACTTAAAATTGCATTAAGACTACTAAAAAAATGCTAGCCTTCCTTTTTTCATTTTTTAAAGGCATAAAACTGTCTTATAGGTACATACAGGTTTGTTTCTGATTTTTTTAATACAAAAATTAAAATATAGGCAGTATACTGATAGGGAAATGAATCTTTGAAAAAATTCAGTTTTCATAAATAAAGAATCTTGAATTCTCAAGCTTAACTTTCTTATCACTTTGAAGTTTAGCATGGTCTTGATTTTAGTGAATTTTCTTTGTACGTGGTATTATATAGCCAAATATCATTAAGGAACTGGTGAGTTATACTATACATGCAGATTCCAATACTATTCAGTCCATGGATTCATGATACCCTGGTCTGGCATGTAAGGATATATGTTAGTGCCTTCTGGAGTAGTAGACCTTCATTGGCAGATGCTAATACTTAACAAGTCATGTCTCTCTTGCTAGCACAGTGCCACCAGAATCTCTGAAATAAATTTGGTTTTCCACATAGAGTGTGTATTTCTCAGGCACTCTAACATAGTTCAGAAACATACTAGTCTTCCTACCTTCTGCATAATTGGGTCTCATGGTATTCTATATGGAAAGCAACTGGATGCATGTGTCTACTCCACACTACTGTAGAATATTTGACATCTTCTGAGTACTGTTCTCAGTACTGAAGTTAAACTTCATACAAAATATAGCTGGTTGAGAGTTGGGAATATTTCACAAACATGCAAAGGAGTAACTCCCAAACACTGTTTTCATTTAAATATGCATTTTATTTAAATACCCATTAAATACAGCTTGGAAGTGACTTTTTCACTGATTTAAATAAAAGTTTAATGATTTGATATCTTTAGCTACAGAAGTGTAAAGGATGTGGGCTTCTCTTTGATTATTTGTTGTACTTAGAGAAAACAGGGTTACACTAAATTACCACCAAAGATCACCATTTGGCTAATTGCCTGTTAATCATTTTTCTATATTTTTCCACCTTTAAGTCAGACTTTCATGACACATTATTTTCAGTCACACAACGTCTTCCTAAAGCTTTAATCACATAAAAATGAATGAAATACATTGTATTTTTTGGTAGTTATAGATGAAAAAGTCATTTTTCCAAATTGTCCTTTTGTATCAACATGAGAAGAAGGTGAAAATCTTCCTGTTCTATTGATGGCACTGTTTATTCATGATTACTTACTTATAAAATTGAATATCACTGCAAGAGACATTAAAAGTATCCTTTGGGGTGCCTGAGTGGCTCAGTCAGTTAAGTGCCTGACTTCGGCTCAGGTTATGATCACACGGTTTGTGGGTTCGAGCCCTGTGTTGGGCTCTGTGCTGACGGCTAGCTCAGAGCCTGGAGCCTGCTTCGGATTCTTTGTCTCCCTCTCTCTCTGACCCTCCCCTGCTCATGCTGTCTCTCTCTCACACACACAAATAAATAAAAACATTTTAAAAAATTAAACAGAGAAATAAATAAATAAATAAATAAATAAATAAAAGTATCCTTTTGTGCTGAATAGAAAGCTAAGAAAAATAAATTAATTTCCTCATAGAATTAAAATAAAACTATTTCAGCCTCTTGAGCAAACAATATGCTTGTAATTTTCCACACAAAGCCAAAAAAGCCTGACTGAATTTTCTATGTAGGTTCTTCTCTGTCATTGCCCTCTCAAAGACATACAACTTACTGTGAGAAATAATGAAGTTAATTTACAAAGGGGAATTTCAGTCTTCACCAACCCTAGAAAACTATAGATTGATGGTACTTTTGAGTAAGCCAAAAATTACATCCAGTAGTGAACTATAATTCTTCCTAATTTAGCTGAGGGGGAAAAGAACAGAGAGAGAATCACCCACATCTGTCACTTGTAGCCATAGCTATAGAGATCTTGATAAAATGGTGATCATCTCCTTCTCAGCATGCTGATAAGGACCACTTGAGGTGCTAATTCCTTGAGACTCCCAAGATATCAGTACAGAGGTCAAGGAGAAACTCAACACAGGTGCCAGAGTTTCAGGAAATAGTGGGAAGGGTAAGAGCAAAGTGATCTTGGCAAACTACTGCTTGGAGTTGGGATGGGCTGGTGCTTAGTCCCTTCACCTCTAGTAATGACCTCCTTATAGTATTTCAAGCTCCCACAAAACTACCTAACCCAGATCCCAGAGCTTCAGAATTCACTTTTCATTGCTGGAACTTGCTACAAGAAAAAAAAAAACCTAACATCCAAGAAGGTAAATAGAAGGCATTTACGTCCTTTGCAATCTGGGTCAGACTGTCCTAGCATGCTACCTATAAATCCACCCAAGAAAATCAGGGGTCCTAATACTGAGTGCTTTCAAGGTGCAAAGTGCTTGAATATATATTACCTTATTTAGTACACACACACACACACACACACATATACACACAACTCTAGAAGTCAGTTATTATTAGCCCCCTTTTACAGGTAACAAAAGAGACTCAGGTTTAGTAACCATCACAAGAGCACAGAGATGGTAAGTGGTATAGCCAAGAATTGAACCTCCATCTGCCCAAGTTCATAGTTCATGCTTTTCCCATCATTGTTTTTTGGGTACATCTCTGGGCAACTACATCAATTCATATTTGAGAGGAAGCTTAGTATACTAGCTGTCACCAGCATGATCCATTATAAATACCACAAATTTAGATTAAGTAATTTCTGCTTATCGTTTAGTCAAAGGGAATAATTAAAATAGGAATAGCATTTTCAAAGTTTTTGTATTTTGAGGCTTGGATATAATAATCTCCATTGCTAAAGAATTTCTTTTCATGATAGCCAGGGTTACAGAACAGCAGGACAAGGGCTTAAAGCATCATGAATATATGTCAAATTAAACTCTCCCAGTGTGTCATTTCAAAAGAGTCCCAGTGATAGCCCTCCAAGGATTAGGGCAAGGCTATTTCTTAGTTCAAATCCCAGCTCTACAACTTTCTGTTTAGCATATAGTACTGAATAAATGTTAACTATACTTATTCATAAGCACCACAAGGAAAATATATATATAAATAATTACAGGATAAGGATTCCGGGGTGGAGAGGGGTTCCTATAAAAGTATGTGGCATGGTTTTTTCACCTAAATCTGATTATCAGTTAAGCCTAATGATGGCTTTTTTCTGATTTAGATTTTCATAAGAATAAAAATGGGTAATACTGACAGGTTTTTCCCTGTACATCTTATAAAGAATTAACCCAGAGTTAAGGGTGGTTGCATTATTAGTGGAACAGGTCCTGATTATTGGCCTTTGTACTGTATTTTACTTACTCAACTAATTTATCTCTCAGAGTATTTTCCCTTCCCTCTTGCCTGAGCTCTGCCAAGTCTAGCGGCTTACATTTTCTACCCTTTTAAGTAGTTCTAGAAGTTTGGAACTTGCAGCCCACATCAGCAAATTTGCCCTTTTGCATTTGGCGAGAATCAAGGTTTGCCATGTGTTTCCAAGTAGAGGTGGGAGTATCGTGTTATAGAGATTCATGTCAGCATGACTCTGGAAACAGTGATTGTTAGATAACCAGTGAATTGGAGCCAGAAAAGAGAATTGAGAACATTATTTTTGGAGCTGTTTATATCTGTAGAGATCTACAGCTGTATATATATTGCTCTTCTTTGCGTGTTCATCTTTAGAGTAAAATGATACACCTTTAAGAGGCATCATGTGTTATCATTCATTAATTCAAGCGTCAGAATAACTTGGCCTAGAATCTAAAGCACCCTAAACCAATTTGGCTTCTGCAGTATCTTTTTCTTAACTCCTTAAAGTTATAGCTATGTATAATTGCTTGCTTTAAAGGTTGGAATTAAGTGATTGTACTCTTCCTTCTTCCTGAACACCCACCTGAAAATAAAAGTTTGTGGGCCTGGAGTAGTGGGTGCTGCGGAGCAGGGTGTAGCAGTGGAATTTAAATGTCTTAGTGTTAGCTGTTAGTGTGTATTCCTGAAAATATGGCTAGAAACATTTAATAGAATATTGTTGTATTTGTGTGTGTGAATTTACAGATTACTGGAGTGAGAGTGACAAGGAAGAAGCAGATACTCCATCAACACCCAAACAGGACAGCCCTCCGCCCCCTTATGACACATACCCACGACCTCCCTCTGTAAGTTGCCAACAAGAATGGACATTATTTAGCATCAGATTCTTTGACCCAAAATATCCCCGTGTAGTGAATTGCATGTCAGACCTCAGATTCCCAAAGAGGAAAGAAAATAAGGAGTCTAAAAGCAATACGGGGAAAAATTTAGTATGCAAAGACTATTTAATTGGGAGAAACAGTCACCACAGATCCCAAGCAGAATCATTATCTGCCCAGGTTTATTTTAAAAAATCCTGTTTGTGTCAAAGTAGACTTCATGGAAATATCAGCAACAAAAATAAGTTTTCTTGGAAAAAGATATGTAAATGGTCTTTATGTATCCCACACTAATAAAGTTCATTCCTATATCCTTCAGAAATGACTCATAAAAATTGACATTGTATCTATATTAAACCTGTATCAACAGACAGTTCTTCAGATATCATGGGGTCTGGTTTAATGTATGTGTTTATATGGTGCTCCAGACTTCTTAAACCTGTATAAATGATTCTGTGTATAGTCTGTACTTTAATCTTTCAATGGGGTAAACAACGGTGCTTGTTTGCTTGAGACTATCCCACTTTATGCCCATGGCCCATCAGAGCTACTAAGAACATCTCAGTAGTGTCACAGTTTCGACAATACATTGCGCAGCATCATAAGAGTTAATTCTGCCTTTCTTGGAACTGAGTCTTCCACATAGGAAATGGAAGCTGAATTTAGGTGACAACAGCTGCCAACCTAATTACACCTCCATATTACTCTAGAGGATTTTAAATAAGAAAGACACTACACAAGATGTTGATAAAATTCTAGGCCACTTCTCAGCCTTGGCTGTGCATAAGAATCATTTCTGTAACATTTTAGAAATGCAGAAGTTCAGACCTTATCCAGACATTGAATCAGAATATCTGGGACTACAAACATCTCAGTAGACTAGACTGTGGACCTTTTGAGAACAGGGACCCTGCTTGTATTCATCTACACATCCCAGTGCTTAGCACAGCACTGGCACTTAAGTGCTTAATAAATATTTTTGAAGTAAATAAATAAATATTTCTGAAATAAATGAATGGTTGCTTTTGGCTAATAACTAAAAGGGAAGCCACATTTTTAATAACAATGTTTGATGACAATGTCTGTTACCTAAGAATTGTTCCTAATATGTATGCACATTTCTTTAATAAATGCTGAGTCCAACAGAATGCAAGGATGAGCTATAGAAATGCAATCATGAAGTCAGTAACAAGATACAGTTTATATCATAATTTCCCTCTTTGCCTAAAACATCAGGGCCTGAATAATTCCTTTATATTTATAAAAGAGGAAGAAAGGGAAACTGCACCTTCAGGAAACAGCTCTTTAATCATAGCAACTTGTGAATTTCAAGAAGGAAGCTATTTACATTGTTATTAACATGCGGGAAGATAAACTGCCTCCAGAAGTTGCCACTTAGCTTCTCCTTTACCCAGAAGGGCAGCATATGTTTTTACCTCAGCCAGGCTTGTCCTGGCCACCACCTCAGCCTCATTTGCCTTCATCACATTGGACAAATCCAACTTCTCCTTCCAGAAAGGAGCCGGGGCTGATATGTTAGCGTGAGAGCTACAGTAAGCCTTGTCCCCAGTTGGGGCACCTGCAAGTCTTTTACAGCATTCACTTGATGCCAGTCCTTTTTATCAGTTGTGCTTTGTACTCCAAAATATATATCCTCAAACTTTAAATTACAGGAATAGAATTATTCTGTTTTTCTTTTGTGTTTATGTACCCTGAGGTGACCATGCCCAAGGCAAATGCTAATTCCCATCAGAGTATAATCTCATCCTGCCTGTATGTTTAAGTCTAATAAGTGCCACAAATTGAAAAGACCACAGGATATCTTTTCCTTGGGGCCCATAGGAGGACTCATTCACCTATGAAGAAGAGGAGGGGTTCTGTCCAATTATAGGCACCTTGTTTTCACATCCAAAAGCCTCTCTCCTTGCTCTCATCCCCAAACTCCACAAAATCCGGAAATATGAATTTGGCAGCAATTATTCAGGGTTTCAAATTCAAAGAGATTTTTAAAACTTCAGATTTTTTTAGTTGCTGAATATTTCTTAGATAAGCACTCAAATTTTCTTATGCTTCACTGTTGTAAGACTTTGCATGTTAATATGTCAGACTTTTCATGAGAGTCTGGTATAGCTGCATTTCAACACTCCACATCTCAGTCTTTTAAAATATCAGCTGGGCCTAACTTTGAGATGTCTGTAAACTTGACTAGTCACTAATTTGACTGGTGAATGTTAGCTGGTAGAAATCTAATTTGTTCCTTGGTGACAGAAGTAGTCTGTTATTTTCTGTGGAGACTGATCAGAGGCTCTTTTCCACAGATGAGTTGTGCCAGTCCTTACGTGGAAACAAAACACAGCCGGCTCTCTTCCACAGAGACCTCTCAGTCACAGTCCTCCCATGAGGAGTTTCGCCAGGAAGTGATTGGGAGCAGTGTGGTGTCCCCCATTCGCAAGACAGCCAGTCAGCGCCGCTCCTGGCAGGATTTAATCGAGACGCCCCTGACAAGCTCAGGATTACACTATCTTCAGACTCTGCCCCTGGAGGATTCTGTCTTCTCTGACTCCGCGGCCATCTCCCCAGAGCACAGGCGGCAGTCCACCCTTCCAACTCAGAAGTGCCACCTACAGGATCACTATGGGCCATACCCCTTGGCCGAGAGCGAGAGGATGCAAGTGTTAAATGGAAATGGGGGCAAACCTCGAAGTTTTACTCTGCCTCGAGATAGCGGGTTCAACCACTGCTGTCTGAACGCTCCTGTTAGTGCCTGTGACCAGCAGGATGACGTGCAGCCCACAGAGGTGGAGGAAGAGGAGGAGGAGGAGGAGGAGGAAGGGGAGGCAGCAGGGGAAAACATAGGAGACAAAAGTAAGTATGTTGGAAATGCTTAGCCTGTGTACACAGAGTCCTAACCTTTTCAAACTTCTTATTTTAAGAAAATAGAGTTTGTTTCCCTTTTTTCTTAAAATAATAGTATTGCTGTGCAGGAAGTTAGGTAGCCCTTCCTGTTTTACTTTCAGAAATTGAGTAACGTGGGGGGGAAAAAAGGTGGATAATGAAACCTATATCCCAGGACACCCAAAGCTAGAACAAATGAGTTTTTCCAATTACCCATTTTCCTTGTAAGGTTAATGATAGTCATTTCTTTTTCTCCTTCCTCTTATCCACTTTCTTCTCCCTTGCATATATCATCCCTTTGGTCCACAGTCATTGTCCCCTGAGTTCAGGTTAAGAAACTTAAATGCTTCAAGCATGGTGTTAGCAGAACCTTGGTTGAATACATAAGTGAACATAAAAGCACACACATACGCACACATACATATACAACTTCCCTTTTCACTATTAAAAGATTTAAAGGAAAAATTCCAAAGAGTTTTTCCAAGGAGAAATTTAAAATAGTATTTCTGGCAACTCCAAATGGCCAAAATTGTTTCTAGAAACTGGTTTGCCAAAAAGCATTTCTTTATTTTCTTGGTGTACATGTTAATTACAAAACTCAATTTATGTGAATCAACTCTTAAGAGAGACAAAATCAATTAAGTAATCCCTTGACTTGTTGGCATTAAGAATATGTTTACTAATTTTCAAGTTCTTTATCCAACATGCCTTACCAAGCATCTATTTATAATTAATGTGATACACCAGTCCAGAAACCCAGGCTAGTTTAAGGGAAAGGCTAGAACTCAGTTACCTTACTTAGAAAGAAAATCTAGGCTTGGCTGTAAGTCCTGAATGTTAAATTCCCCTCCTCGCAAAAAAAAAAAAAAAAAAGTACAGTATGAAAGAATTAGTATAAAACTGTTTGCATGTCTTTATTCAAAATGAAGTTTGGCCCAGTTAGTGCAGATGACCCAAGCCAATGTTAATGAAAACACAGTTGCTGGTTTGTTCCCACTAGGGCATTAGACTTCCCTTTTTAAAGGATATAAGCAGACTATATCCATCCACCCATTTGTGAGAATATGAGACTTTGATTATGGGATATATTACTATAAATTTCTTCTTCACAATTGGAAAAACAACTCAAAGCTTACAGAGGACCAGCAGGTCAGGATCCTCATGCCTATGTTAAGCTTGGCTCATTTAAAATGAGAGTCACTTTGGAGATTATTAGCAAGAACATACAGTAGAATTCCTTTTATGGTCTTTATTGTCTTATTTAATGGGAATTATGTCTTCTACCATGAAAATATGAGTTGCTGGTAATAAAATTCATATGTTAAAGCAGTTTCCATGTGAAGTGTATGTTGGCCATAATCTCCATAAGGAACATTACAAAAGGTATACTGTTGGTGCAGGAAAAGGTAATTACCATCTATTACATGCCAAGCCCTCCCAACATTTACATTTATCAGAGATTATGGAAGAGTCTGGTGGGAGAAATATCTAGGAGCCATGTAAGGCCTCTATAGGACTTCTGGCAAGCATGATAATACATTTTTAATGTTATGATGATAACCAAAATCAGGACACTGTTTTCTAAAATTTAACTAAAGATGAGTTAGAAACTTCATTGTGACTGTCATCTACATGCTGCACAACTGCTATAACTAAGTATGTGAGGTTTGTTCAGTATTGTAGAAACATATTTGGGAAAAATACGTTATCTCTGCCATTTAAAAATAAGTTGTGTTGAAATTTGCACAACCCTCTGAAATAGAGAATTCTGTTCAGAAAAATATCATCATGACCACAAGTAGAAGTCATTAATGCTATCTTTTTCATTTAAGCCAGTTACTTCCCAGTTCCCCTTGGCCATTGTGTGATGGAGTTCTAGAAAGGAGAAGGTGCGTCCTATGGCCTGAAAGGAAAACCCAGGCCCACAGAGCAGATGTAGTTAATGGCCTTCGAGTCTGTTCTTCTAATGTCTCTTTGCTGTTCTGTTGATTGGATTTATTTTTACCATATATATGCACTCCTCAATTGGTGGGGTTTTCCTCCAGGTTCCCAAAGGAGTCAAGTGGGCAATTATTCTGTAGTTTCCATCTATTTCAGTGGCTCTTTTTTTGTGGAATAACTATGATAAGGCAGAATAATCCTAGGAAGTGTGTCCATAAATCTAGTATTGCAAATTTTGTCTTTACAGTTCAATATTTTGGGGCATTTCATGCTATTTCAGTCAGATCTGCTTCAATAAAGGTAGCCATGCACTATCTTTCAGGGACCCATTTCTTTCTGGGCATTCCCCCCCCCCAGATCTTTCACTTGATGTGTCAGTGTTCTTCAAACCATTCTCAGCAGAGCACTGCATTTCATGGTTGTCTACTAGAAGATGCTTTTTATTTAATAGAATGTCTATTTGCCTTCCTAATGATGGTTTTTCTGCATTAATGTTTTTAATACTTAGGAGTGTGCAATTTGATAAACACTTCATTTGAGAAGCATCAGCTTTAAAATCAGCGTTTTCAAAAGAATCTTTAAGGTCTAGTTAAGGGGTATCATGTTCATGGCTGCCCTGGTTGGCCACTAGGAGCAAGCATTCCAGGCTTCTTATTCAAATCAAGCTGCTGGGTGTTATGTCAGCAGAGCAAAAATTAGATGCACGAAAGAAGCTGTGGCCATCCCACCAGTCTCGGACTTATGGCATGCCCTCCAGCGTGGAACATTCACTATGCTGCCCACAGGTTGGCAGGCAACTGTGCTTGCTACAGTCAGAGTCCAGCAGGGCTGTGTTACTGTCCTGCTCGAGGCCAGCATTTGCTTTGACCTCCTAAAGTGAATTTGCACTGATCCAGTACAGACCTGAAGAGGACATAAGTTTTGTGTCTCTAGCTACATACATTTTTTCTCAGCTTATGAAGAAATTAAAACTAGAAAGGGTCAGGCAAGTGGGTAGAAGAAGTAATGGAAAAAAATGTGAAAATATAGCCTATCTTCTGCTTTAAGGATAAAGAATTAAGTCATCACCCAAACCCCTTTCTTATCATTTATGTTTACCTTAACTTTATATAATGCGATATATATTATATAGCACTTACAAGTTTACAAAGCAGTCTAAAAAGCAAGATGTACCTAAATTGGTGACCTAGATGGGTTTTTTTTCCAGTTTCCCTGCTCCTGAGGTATAAATGTAGCCTTCTTTAGAAGAGTTTTCAAACTGTGTTTTCTCATGGTTGGACTACTTTTTCTCTTATTTTGAAATTAAGTTATTTAACTGAATCATACTATGATTTTTCTCAGGCCGAACTCATTTTGGTGTAAAATGGATGGTATTAAAAGTACACAGATGAGACCTGTCTTGTTTTCCTTTGACTTAAAAGTCAGCTTGCATATTAATTATCCTGACCTACTTCACTGGCATTTGGGAGAAGACAAGTAATTTCCTATTATCCCAATTAGCAGTTTTGAAGCTTACTGAGATGTGGGCTTTATAATACCTCAGTTAAATTAAATTATAAATTATGTCAGCCCATGCAACTTCCAAGGAGTATAAATCATTAAAGTGTGAGACAAAATATAAAGATATACTTCACTCTGAAATCATCTGCCATAACACTAAAATACTGTTTTGGTTAATGCTGCTTGAAGTCTACTTGGGATAGATCTCTTTTCTTTCCTTTGACTTAAAAGTCAGTTTAAGATGAGGTTTTCAAAAGCTTTATCCTAAACTATGCAGTTTATATGAGGTTTTTAAAAGCTTTATCCTTTAATCCTGCTGATTTCCCTCTTGTCAGTTATAAGAACACTCTTTACTAGCTATACATTCTTGGTGCCTCCATGTACTCAATGAGGTTATAATGTGCTCTTTTTCATTGCCTTAGAGATAACTTACCAGTATTCTCACTTAATTTACACATTTATTAGCTTGGTCTTAGGGATCTAAAGCAAAACCTACAGCAGTAGAAGGGGGGGTGGCTTGTGGGGTTGGAGGTTGGAGGGTGGATAAAACCTTATAGTTACAATGCACATCAAGTTATCTGGCCAAGATATTTACTGATGCTCTCAAAATGAGATTTGCTAAGAAATATATTTTAAAGCTATTTTCTTAATCTAACCTCCTTTGCATAACATTGGTAAGTTAAGAGCTGTGTAAAATATGCAGCTCAGTGGCCTAATATCTTAAATTATCTAGGCAGAGAGGATAGATAATGACTACCAATATAGTGCAGAAGAAGATAGATTAATCCTCTTCAATCATTTTAAGGGTCCTAGAGTAATTTCTTGAAGAGTTTCTAAAAGCTGTGAATTTTATTTTTTTAAGAACATTCAGGTACAAAGTATGTGGGCAAGGGGAAGATATTCCTAGAATATGAATCTGTGTTAAAGGATAAAAAGGAACAAGTTGAAAATTAAGAAAAGTGTTGCAAGCACTTTTTACTGTTTTATTGATTTTCGAGATAAATTATGCACAAAGAATTTAGAAGGGCATAATCATCAATAATATCTTTAATTATACTTCAGGCGTAAAGGAAACAGATGGAAAATATATATAAGCAATGTGAATAAAAACATGCATTAAATTCAGAGAAAAAAATAGTAGAGTACCTTAAATTTGTCACTTTTGTGAAGCTTAAAGGCATTATTCTTGGCTGGTTATGTAACAAGTATATATAGAGAACACATAATAATCTAGAAAGTAGTAAACAGATGTTCTCTTAATACCATATTTTCTGATTTTGAAGAAAGACTGTTACGGAGACATAAAACCCTAAAGATTCGAGAGAAAGTAGAGACTAGCTCTAAAGCTAATATTGATTATAAGTTGGATTTGTAATCATACTCCTCAGTTTTGGCTTAAATGATGAGGAAAAATTATTACCTTAACTGATAGGAAGTTCAGAAGTGGGGTTGTTCGGAGTGAATTTTGTGGCTCAGCAGTGTCGGGACTCTTAGCTTTTCCGTAATGCCAGTAGCTCTAAGCATCTCTT